CGTAATGCTGGCTCTCTTTCCATAAATGCTTGTTTCCCTTACGTGACGCGCGGTACTTACCTAAGTACTAGGTAGCTTTAAAATCAACAACGGGAGCTCCTCGGCCTATTCTTACGGCACGTTGATTTTACGTGTTTACAGATCATACAGATCATCATCTCCCCCTAAGTGCACCTAGTCAGTTCAGTGAGACTTTTCCACGAGAACGTTCTAACATACGCTACTCCTAGAGTCTTTTCTTATTCCTACATCGTAGGCTACTATCTAAGTACTAAAAAATCTATTATCCGTCCAATAAGTATCTGTGGACCTGGTCGCCGATGTACTACTAATCAGGCACATAGTATCGTACTAGATTTGTCGCCAAGAGATCTCCATGCTATTTCAATGGAGCACGGCACATCCAGGTCCTCAAGTCTCACGACCATTACTTCAAGCCTTTTCAGAGCCTCAACTAATTTCTCAACTGAGATCTTTGAGAAGATCTTGTGTGGAGCAACCACCCCATTAATTAAAGCGGCTCGTCGTCTCTAGTTCGTGGGGTGTCAGGGTGCCTAGGTGTTCGACTAGCACCATCCCTTCAACCTCTTTAATCACATTCGCAATCTGATTTCTAATCGCACCCTAATCCTGCTCTGAAGCTATAATCTTCTGAAGTCAAAAGGGCCGATGATGCCGAAGCAAACCACGACAGGGCGTAGAGGTCAGATTAGGTTATGTCACCAGCGGCGCTGGACGCGTGAGGAGTACACCCTCTATGCTCGAGTCCGTCCCAACCCAATTCATCAAAGTTTTTCTTACAGTTAACCTGCTGAAGTAATGCCCCCTTCAGGTTACTCTACTAATCTCTACTATCGAGGCAAGATGGAATAGCATGAAAGCCTGCGTGACTTATTGAGGGTAGTTATTGATGAACAGAGGCGAGTATCAAGAATTCGGGGGTTTGTAAATGACAGCACCTAACTTAACATGTCATCTCCAGGAAAGCCAATTCGCCTCGGGCCATGGGGCGGCTCCTCGACTTAGGTCCTTGAGATCTTCTAACTCCCGACAAAATTACCGCCCTCATCCCCGATAGCATACTATGTATGCCGACGCGCCGACAGTAGCTTGAACTCTCGCGACTCAGTATCAGGGGCTCTAAGCTAGATCAAGTCTTCCGTAACTGTTTGTACCAACCGCAGAATCGAGGCTACACTAAGATAGCCCATATTATTCACACAAATCTGGAGTAGGGGGGCTGAGGCTGTTGATAGCCTCCTTACACCTCTCCATTTTGTCGCATAGCCGTCGATGGTACCCATAAGATTGTCGTTGGATAGTACTGACTAGGTACGCATGAGATCGTTCCAACCGGCCGACCACTTCAGGATCTCACCTAAAGTGGGCCACAATAGCTCGGCATTCAATAAGGTTTACTACGTTGTGCCCTCGAAGCTTGGTATGAAAGTATCTAACCCATGGCCCTGGTTCTGGACCGTCGGCGTGCGAGCTACGTATTGGTGCATGTGCCCGTGGGCCTACGTTAGCCGTTCGATCGCCCGGCGTCGTTACCCGCGATAGAGTGTATTTTAGGGCCTACTTAGCGTCGTTCTGCTTGCTTTTTTGAGTTACAGCTATGGACGGCTAGGTGACTGGCGTGGAGGCTGCTAGGCGATAAGTTTTCTCCTAGCTCAATACGCGATGTCGTCGTCGAGGGGCTAGAAAGAGCGATTTCGATTAAATCTATCCTCTCCGCGGAGTCCTGTTCGATCACTTCTCAGATCGATCTACCCCACGAATATCTAGGAACACGGAGATCGAGAGTTGGAGACGTAGCTCTGCAGGCTCAATCGTCATTGAGATGAAGCATTTGGTAAACTTGACACACGATGAGGTACGCGCGAGGTGAGCATGTGAGTCTATCAACTTTGCGCTGCCGTATTCGTGTTGTGGCTCGGGCTGGATGGCGACAGCGCCCTAAAATCTGCTATTATCATAATATAATGTGTTCAACTCCCGAGTCGGCCGGGATAGTCCAGGGCATGTGAACCATAACGCCCCCCAAAATTTCTATGAGCATATAGCTACTCCCCAGAACTTGTGGTGTCTCGCTCATATCAGTTTTGCTTCATTTTTAGTCTATACACTTTCATACATGTACGTTTGCCCATAGAACCTTTCGGGGCAAGGTCTCGAAGCATGTGTTTCTTTCCTTCCCAGAGTTGTAGACTTCTTGGTCTTAACGTATTTCTACACCCACCTCTCTCTTTGACGTATTTGCAGGTAAAGGCAATCTGCAAATTGATACATGTGAACCCCTGGTACTTAACTGCCTCATATATCATCTATTAAAGTATATTCTACAAGCGCCTCAGGTTTCTAGAACTTGTGATGCCCTTTTCGTACATCGCATTGATGTAATAAGACAACTTTGTTTCTATTAACAAACCCCTAGACACTAATTGTAACAAAGTCCCAGTAACTCTATTGTTCTGTATGAGGGTAGTAATTTAGCACACTGGGTTTATCGTCGTCTCATTCTTACTCTGTTGGCCTCCTATACCACGCTAGTAACAGCATGACATGGCCAACTCCACCTCATTCCGAGCCACAGCTCAGTATCACGAAATTTATAGAACATACATATAACTACAAGTTGACTACACGGCCAACTATATAACTCGTTCTCGGGTTTGGCCCAAAAAGGTAAACGAGAACGTGACGTCGATCACGTGTACAACTGTCCAGAATGCTACGGCTGAATGCAGTACGTCCAATTTTAAGCGGTGCGGAGCGAGCTCGGCCAGACGCTCTTTACGTCGCATGGCAGGGGGCCGTACCATAATACATCGTACCCTGTCCGTCGCTGCAGTTGGAGTAATTAGGCCGGTTGGCGATGCACACAGGCTCACTGCGGTATGGATGATCGGGCGGCTACCAATCGATGAGGGTATTTTACGAAGACATTGCGCCTGCAGCAAGCCCCTTTCGTGACCTAGCATCGGATATTTCCTGTAGAAGAACGTTGGGTACAACTTGCTTCATCCATGGGCATGATTATCCTCCTACCCTAAGCGTCTTAAGTCAGCTGTGGGAGCACCGTCGTGCGTAGTATGTTGTAAAGGCAGCATTTGACACCATTTATATCCCTCCTTTATAACGGTAGGGCGGGAGCAAGAATGTATCCGATCGGAAAGGGACCCATGATCCCGGTGGTTAAGCCCCGGTACAGCGAAAGCACGGACGGAGAGGAGCCGGCGATCACCACCAACTCTTCACCATCACTATCGTCATCGTCATTGCAGCGGCCAATCCAGACGCTAAGGTATGATCCCGAATACGCGCAATGGCGAGCACCATTCGGGGACAAAGTCTGCGTACCTCCGTGCGCAACACCATTCGATCTCCGGCGGTACGCCGACACGTTCATGCGCGCGGTATGGGCACAGCTACCCGCGCAGCCTAGCATCACTCGGACCCGGTACGCATGCCGCTCACACGACGGCTGCGAGATCGAGATCACGCGCTTCGCAACCGCGGGACAGATGGAAAGCCACGCGGCGCTGCAACCAGCAGTACTGTACCTACACGGCGGCGGCACGGTCGCCGTGAGTGTCGAGATCTTCGCGCCGCAGCTCGCGAAGCTAGCCGCCGAGTCCGGCGTTCAGGTCTTCTCCGTGGAATACAGGCTTGCGCCGGAACATCCGGACCCCACGCCGACGGAGGACTGCTATGCAGCGCTGCAGTGGCTCTCGACGCGTGGCGCCGACCTCGGTGTTGATCCGGCGCGTCTAGGTCTCATGGGCGACAGTGCGGGGGGCGGCCTGGCCGCGGGCATCGCGCTCATGGCGCGCGATCGGGGCTTGGAGCCACCGGTGAAGAAACAGATACTCATTTATCCCATGCTGGACGACCGGTCCGTCGCCGCGCTGTCGGCTGCTTCTCACACGAGTCCACTGCTGGAGCTGGTGACGTTCTCACTTCCCACCGCCAAACTGTGCTGGGAAGCGTATGTGGGCAAGGAGAAAGCAGGAAGGCCTGATGCGGATGTGAGTCCGTACGCGGCGCCAGGGCGAGCGACCGACTTGCGAGGACTGCCGAGCACGTATATTGACGTGGGCGGGTTAGACCTGTTTAGAGATGAGTGCGCGACTTTCGCGGCAAGATTAGCAGCTGCGGACGTGGAAACGGAATTTCACTTGTTTCCAGGGGTGCCTCATGCGTTTGAGGCGGCTAGCAACATCGGTGTCACCAAGCGAGCTATCGAAGGACGGATACAATGGATGAGGGATTTATGATTAACGAGATGGGAGTTTTCCAAGGGGAATTGAATTGTTTGGATGTTTAGAACTCGATGTGAAAATTGTTATAAGGATTTGACGGCGTGTTTCGGACGATGATAATGGACGAAATCCTTGCCGTAGATAATTTCCATGTTCCGAATTGAGTTACACACATGATTTCTATCGACCCTCAAATAATCGATCGCAAATCCGTAGTATATAAATTGCACGCCTGGAGCGTGAACGTACTTGTAAGGTCCTTCTAATCGAACGTATATTGAAGATATCTTAAACGCGACCCTCCGTCGGGGGAGTGCGAATACACTTAAAGCCCAGGCATGCGAAAAAAAAAGTACTAATGTAATTACCTAACTCCATGTACTCTATCCCTGAATGATCAATATTACTTACTGATGGCAATCGGGGGTTGGCAGTCCAAGAAGCTCTCTATTGAATAATCTAGGAAATCCAGGATATCCAGGATCTCTCGAACTGCCTAAATATCTCCAGTCTCTTTATGCGAATTGCCTCAAAGCGCCTTTTTCCATCTTTATCTCCTTTGCCCGCTTTATCTGCTTTATCCGCTTTATCTGTATGCCAACACTTACAAAGAAAATCTACGCAAAAATACACACTCGAGACTTCTCACGACGTGAAAGGGGAAAAAAGTCCAAAAGAGTCAAGAAAAAAAATAGGGGTTGCATTTCTCAGTGTTCTGAGAAGCATCAGGAATTGAGCCCGATGCGGGGGTCGAACCTAAGAGGTCAGTTAGCTTTGAGTTAGAAGATATGGTGTGATTGGATCACAACTTACCCGCAACCTTGAGATTAAGAGTCTCACGCTCTACCGATTGAGCTAACCGGGCGATGAAAGTTTGTCGCTTTTTGCAACCTATAACCCTAAGTTGGCGGTGTGTGATTCGACTGGCGGATCAACGCTGGTCCCTGCACCAAACCAGACGAGGTGCTTACTTAATTGCTAAGTACTTATGTACCTACCTACTATATACCTATGTAGTATATATATACATAGTACCCTTAAGTAATGGACCCAAAAACGCCAACGCGTCACACCAAATCACCAACCTACATACCTACTAGTAGTACATACAACGTACATGTAGCTCTGTAATCGTCCACGGGAGAGTCTGGTAGTAGGCGGCATTCCAACGCCGAGCATTACCGAAGAAACCGCTGCATCAGGCTCGACGGTGCAAAATGGACAACGCATCTTTCGCATCTTCGACGGGCTACAGCTTTGGCTCGCCCACGTCGACGGAATCAGGCACGCTACTTCCCACCCCTTCCACATCAGGAGCAAGCAGCATCAGTCAGTCTGGTTCTACAAACATTCCATCCGGTCCATTGGATCTTACACCGTTGAGTACTACTTCGTGGAGGCAGCCGTATCCCTCTGTTGGGCAGTTCGCTATGACAGAATCAGAAGAGGTCGTTGCCGCCGGTCCCGACGGCCTTTTCTACTTCAGGCGCATACGAGACCACGCCGCCACACCGTGGTCCGAGTCTCGCCCAATTCCCAGTGTGGGGGTGACGCTTAACGAATCAACCGTGTCTGGCCTGGCGCTGCACTCATGGCATGATTACAAACGCCGATCGCGGCTTTACCTATACTGCGTTTCGGACGGTGTCCTATATAGTTTCTGTCTCACTGACAAGAATACTTCTTCGTTTCTGCCGGACACTTCGCCTCCTCTGGTAGGATTTAGGGTTACGGGCAAACCAACGGTTGTGCAAAGCACCATGGCGTATAACGATAGTAATCGATGGAGCCTGGTCGTCCCATGCCAATCTGGTGGTCTGCTTCATACGTCGGCAATGGATTATGATAGCTCTATGTCAACAAAGTGGGAGGCTGTAGATCATCTCGCCACCGATTTAGGTATAGTTTCAGCCGTCTCCGTCGCAGCGGTACACAACTCCACCGATGGCAATACAGAACTCGTGGCGGCCTGCATTTCAAGAAGCCAACTCAACGTCGTTCAGGGTCCTTTCCTTTGTGACGGTCGCCCTTATCGCTGGAGGTGGGAAGGCAAGACTTCTACTAGGATCCTACATCCGGGGGAGGTGACAGGAAACCCCTCGCTTACTGCCGATCGTAAAAGGAAGGACCAGTTTGACCTACTAGTGCCCTCGGCGGAGGGGGGCATCTTTCACTTCGTTTGCACGCGATCTGCACCCAACGACTGGCACATGATCGGACGCGTTGCATTTCCTCAGAATATCCCGCCCGCCTCCTGTCTATCTTTTCATCGTTGGTCCGATAATTACGACAGACGCAAGCTGTATGCCCTAGTCCAAACTGGCGGTCGCCTTTACTATGTCAAAACAACCAGCGATAAGCTTCCATGGTACGACGCCCGTCTATATCCGGTCGTTCAGCCAGGCCCCTTCTTTGAATGAAGGCATTACCTTCGTTGCATGCTGTATTCCTCATCGCCACCATGTAATATCGTTGCAGATCACTTCATCCGTGCCTCTTAGCTAGGTTGACAGGACTTCCTAGATGGGCAGTATAGAGAGCAACGAATAGTCATAGATGCTTAATAAAGCCTTCTAAGGGCTAGGCGACAAGTGCTAGGAGGAATGAGCTCTTTATATACGTACAAATGGGTGCTCTTTGGGGTGGCCCCTGGCCACCTCATGGAACAGTTAAGGTGAACATTGGTCCTCCACACTACTCTACGTTACTCTTGGTCGTTTTGCAAAACCGGCATGCCTTTTGCTACGTCGATCAGAAGTAGGTGTAGTATTTATACCGCAGGATCGTATAGATCTACTGCTGTATCACCCAAGGTTTATTGGGCACTAGAAGCGAGTCTCCTTTTTCGTGTAACCCAAAGGGCCCCAAAGAGGTGCTACTACTTGTAGTGGATAAGTCGATGCATCCCCAGTGACTCGAAGATAAGCCTAGCAAGATGGGGGAGGCTAAGAAAAGACAGCATTGATGTTCGTCAAGTATACCCCCTCTGTCGAATAATCGCGTCGCATAGCAACCTGTAGTATAATACGTTGGAGTGTGCCTTCTTCTCGAACCCGGATACTTACAGTCCCGCTGATGCCTTCTATGTAACGGGTGTGGCTCTTTAATGTTTATAGAAGAGCGGCACTTATAACCGCAATTGGGCATAGAGAATTCGGATGGACCGACTAATAATTAATATGGATAGAATAACTAGGAAGTGGCCATTTGATAGTCGAGAAGGCTTATTTATCTACAAGAATCAGTCGATGGCTACGAGCCAGATTACCATAATTCTTCCTCGAACATTTCGATGGTTGGGAGATTTTATAAGCAATAACGATGTCTCCCCGGGTTTCGGATGATGTACGTCGTGTAAGCAATTCTATCACTTCTCCAATGGAGCAACCTCCTTCCCAACCTCCCGCAGCGCCTTCACAAGCCCCTCTGCCGTGTTCCTTAGCGTCTGGCAATTGACCACCACCCGGAAAAAGCTCCCTTTCTCCCCCGGCGCATAGTCCACCATGAAGCCCCTGGGAACAAGCTTCTCGACCATGTCCCTCGTCCGCCTCGTGTTCTCCTCTTTATCGTTGGCTAGGGTTCCATTTGGCGCGTAATAGAAGCATACCTGTAGACATGGCGGCGGATTACTGGATAGTAGGAAGAAGTCGTCCGTCTCCTGTATAAGCGTCGCGAGATACGCTGCCGTGGTGAACGCGCCATCCACACGCGCTGCGAACCCCTGAGACCCATAGTATATCCACGCAAGCGCCAGGTTGAGCGAGTCGCCGCGGCGGCCGCACTGCAGTGTCAAGTCCGCCAGATCCCATACCTCGTCGTCTTCGTCCCCTTTGTCGTGGAATAGATACCCGGCCCGTAGGGTATTGGCCCTCTGGAACACGGAGGTGTCGTTTGTGAGCAGGAACGAGCAAGGGATCGGCACATTGAGCATCTTGTGCGGGTTAACGGTCAACGAGTCGGCATACTGCGACCCTGCCAGTTTGTGCTTCTGTGTGGGCGAGAAGATCGCGGGGCCGCCCCATGACCCGTCGATGTGTAGCCATAGCCCGAACTCCTTGCAAATTGGTGCTATCTCGGCGAACGGGTCATACGATCCCCATACGGTTGTGCCGGCTGTTGTGTTGACGTATAAAGGCGTTTTACCCTCGTCTTTGGCGCCCTGGATGGCGGCGCGTAGCGCGGAGGGTACCATTTGGCCTGCCGAGTCGACCGCGACCTTGACGACGCTGTCGGAGCCCATGCCGCACGCCACGGCGGCCTTCTCCACAGAGTAGTGCCCATGTTCGCTAGTAAATAAGGCGAAGTGGTGGCCTGCGTTGCCGGCTGTTTTGGTCTCGGGGAACAGAGTGTTCCGGGCGATAACGAGCGAGGTCAGGTTCGAGGCGCTGCCGCCTTGGCAGGTGACTCCGCCGGCCCTCGGGCCCACGAATCCGAACAGATTAGCTAGTCTGCGTGCTGTTGTCTTCTCGATGACGGTGAGTGCTGGCGATGTTTTGTAGACGTGTACCTGTGTCGTGTTAGACGTTGAGAGGCATGAAGAAGGGAGGAGACTTACATTGGTGTTTAACACCGTGAGGACCAGGTCAGATATTACGCCAACCTATATATCCAGCCGTGTAAGTGAGTGGCCTAAGCAGTCAAGTACAGCAAGTATAATGGCATGATACAACTTACTGGGCTGATACTGGAGTACAACTTATCCAAGAACCCCTGATCCCACGTATTCACGCTGTATCGTAATATGGTCTGGATGATATCTAGTAACCCTTCTTTTCCCACGCCGTCCTCAGGCAATGCTATGCCTAGCTTCTTTACGAGTTTGTGTGGTTCATGTGAGTCTACCAGAATATTCCGAGCATTCCCAGTTACTTGACCGCTGGCGCGAGCTGGGGCGGCATTGTCCGCATCACGAACAAATGGCACGATGAGTGACTTCACAGCATCGATTAACTAGTGCTAAGTTAGCTATGTGAATTAGAGAATACGTGGTGGTCTATCAACATGGTGATTTCTGACTTACATCTTCTACTTCATCAGCCCTATTTAGCGCCGGTTCGCCGGCTTTAATATGCCCATTGAGTTTAGTAGTAGAAGACATCCTAAACATTCATATCCGAGTTAATATCATAATATGAGAAACTCGACAGTAGAAAAAATATAAACACAGGTTTTGGTACCTTTAATACTTACATGAACATATGTAGGTAGATAGGTACTGGATAGATTCTGGACTTCCTTTTCTGTCAAGATGCTCCTGGTTAATTGCCGAGACCCCACTGTCTGGATTTTCTAGACCAATATTTAACGGAGGCGATCGCGTGCTTCGCCTAACCTCTAGTGTAATGGCCCAATGGGGAATTGTCAAAAGATAGATGTACGAGGTAGTCGTTCTGCGGAAGAGACTGCTTACTCTTCTCTATTATATGACCTACCCACCTACCCACCTGCCCTTATTATGAGTTGCTATGTTCTTATCTAGAGGAATAGGATATTAAGTAGCTGACCGTGGTACAGTGGCGCGATTCATGATTCACTGTCCTCACAATACGAAGTCGTCACATGCTGTCCTGTTACTCAACAATTATTTTTATAGGCCGTGATGCTGTATATCAGTCTCATCCTAACTCGTACAGATGCTATGATTCCCGGGGGTCGCCAACGACCGAAGCCCACGCCGTATGATTGACCCTGCTGTACTTTTACGCCTGAGGAAAAAAGGTATCGTTCAATCCGTCTATCCGTCGCAATCATGTTCTCGTAGTAGCACACACTTAATCGACTCGCTTCTTGGTATCGGTAACATCTCCCCCGTTGTGCTCGGATGTTTTCCCATTGCCAGTGCCTATATCCTCCTCTCCTTCGTCC